TAACATTTGGAACATAGTTACAGTGTGAATGTCACTCTGACTATTGCCATGTAAAGTGTGTAAAACACTTGGAACATAGTTACAGTGAATGTCACTCTGACTATTCCTATGTAGTGTGTAAAACACTTGGAACATAGTTACAGTGTGAATGTCACTCTGACTATTGCCATGTAAAGTGTATAACACTTGGAACATAGTTACAGTGAATGTCACCCTGACTATTCCTATGTAGTGTGTAAAACACTTGGAACATAGTTACAGTGTGAATGTCACTCTGACTATTGCCATGTAAAGTGTATAACACTTGAAACATAGTTACAGTGTGAATGTCACTCTGACTATTGCCATGTAAAGTGTATAACACTTGAAACATAGTTACAGTGTGAATGTCACCCTGACTATTCCCATGTAGTGTGTAAAACACTTGGAACATAGTTACAGTGTGAATGTCACTCTGACTATTCCAATGTAGTGTGTAGAACACTTGGAACATAGTTACAGTGTGAATGTCACTCTGACTATTGCCATGTAAAGTGTATAACACTTGGAACATAGTTACAGTGTGAATGTCACCCTGACTATTGCCATGTAAAGTGTATAACACTTGGAACATAGTTACAGTGTGAATGTCACTCTGACTATTGCCATATAAAGTGTATAACACTTGGAACATAGTTACAGTGTGAATGTCACTCTGACTATTGCCATGTCAAGTGTATAACACTTGGAACATAGTTACAGTGTGAATGTCACCCTGACTATTCCCATGTATTGTTGTATACTTGGAACATAGTTACAGTGTGAATGTCACCCTGACTATTCTCATGTAGTGTGTAAAACACTTGGAACATAGTTACAGTGTGAATATCATTGACTATTCTCATGTCGAGTGTATAACACTTGGAACATAGTTACAGTGTGAATATCATTGACTATTCTCATGTAGAGTGTGAATATCATTGACGATTCTCATGTCGAGTGTATAACACTTGGAACATAGTTACAGTGTGAATGTCACCCTGACTATTCCCATGTAGAGTGTGTAACACTTGGAACATAGTTACAGTGTGAATGTCACTGACTATTCTCATGTAGAGTATAAAACACTTGGAACATAGTTACAGTGTGAATGTCACTCTGACTATTGCCATGTCGATTGTATAACACTTGGAACATAGTTACAGTGTGAATGTCACCCTGACTATTGCCATGTAGTGTGTAAAACACTTGGAACATACTTGCAGTGGGAATGTCACTCTGACTATTCTCATGTAGTGTGTAAAACACTTGGAACATAGTTACAGTGTGAATATCATTGACTATTCTCATGTCGAGTGTATAACACTTGGAACATAGTTACAGTGTGAATATCATTGACTATTCTCATGTAGAGTGTGAATATCATTGACGATTCTCATGTCGAGTGTATAACACTTGGAACATAGTTACAGTGTGAATGTCACCCTGACTATTCCCATGTAGAGTGTAAAACACTTGGAACATAGTTACAGTGTGAATGTCACTCTGACTATTGCCATGTAAAGTGTATAACACTTGGAACATAGTTACAGTGAATGTCACCCTGACTATTCCTATGTAGTGTGTAAAACACTTGGAACATAGTTACAGTGTGAATGTCACTCTGACTATTCCTATGTAGTGTGTAAAACACTTGGAACATAGTTACAGTGTGAATGTCACTCTGACTATTGCCATGTAAAGTGTATAACACTTGGAACATAGTTACAGTGAATGTCACCCTGACTATTCCTATGTAGTGTGTAAAACACTTGGAACATAGTTACAGTGTGAATGTCACTCTGACTATTGCCATGTAAAGTGTATAACACTTGAAACATAGTTACAGTGTGAATGTCACTCTGACTATTGCCATGTAAAGTGTATAACACTTGAAACATAGTTACAGTGTGAATGTCACCCTGACTATTCCCATGTAGTGTGTAAAACACTTGGAACATAGTTACAGTGTGAATGTCACTCTGACTATTCCAATGTAGTGTGTAGAACACTTGGAACATAGTTACAGTGTGTGTGTCACTCTGACTATTGCCATGTAAAGTGTATAACACTTGGAACATAGTTACAGTGTGAATGTCACCCTGACTATTGCCATGTAAAGTGTATAACACTTGGAACATAGTTACAGTGTGAATGTCACTCTGACTATTGCCATGTAAAGTGTATAACACTTGGAACATAGTTACAGTGTGAATGTCACTCTGACTATTGCCATGTCAAGTGTATAACACTTGGAACATAGTTACAGTGTGAATGTCACCCTGACTATTCCCATGTATTGTTGTACACTTGGAACATAGTTACAGTGTGAATGTCACCCTGACTATTCTCATGTAGTGTGTAAAACACTTGGAACATAGTTACAGTGTGAATATCATTGACTATTCTCATGTCGAGTGTATAACACTTGGAACATAGTTACAGTGTGAATATCATTGACTATTCTCATGTAGAGTGTGAATATCATTGACGATTCTCATGTCGAGTGTATAACACTTGGAACATAGTTACAGTGTGAATGTCACCCTGACTATTCCCATGTAGAGTGTGTAACACTTGGAACATAGTTACAGTGTGAATGTCACTGACTATTCTCATGTAGAGTATAAAACACTTGGAACATAGTTACAGTGTGAATGTCACTCTGACTATTGCCATGTCGATTGTATAACACTTGGAACATAGTTACAGTGTGAATGTCACCCTGACTATTGCCATGTAGTGTGTAAAACACTTGGAACATACTTGCAGTGGGAATGTCACTCTGACTATTCTCATGTAGTGTGTAAAACACTTGGAACATAGTTACAGTGTGAATATCATTGACTATTCTCATGTCGAGTGTATAACACTTGGAACATAGTTACAGTGTGAATATCATTGACTATTCTCATGTAGAGTGTGAATATCATTGACGATTCTCATGTCGAGTGTATAACACTTGGAACATAGTTACAGTGTGAATGTCACCCTGACTATTCCCATGTAGAGTGTAAAACACTTGGAACATAGTTACAGTGTGAATGTCACTGACTATTCTCATGTAGAGTATAAAACACTTGGAACATAATTACAGTGTGAATGTCACCCTGACTATTGCCATGTAGTGTGTAAAACACTTGGAACATAGTTACAGTGTGAATGTCACTGACTATTCTCATGTAGAGTATAAAACACTTGGAACATAGTTACAGTGTGAATGTCACTCTGACTATTCCCATGTAGTGTGTAAAACACTTGGAACATAGTTACAGGGTGAATGTCACCCTGATTATTCCCATGTAGTTCGTAAAACACTTGGAACATCATTACAGTGTGAATGTCACTCTGACTATTGCCATGTAGAGTGTAAAACACTTGGAACATAGTTACAGTGTGAATGTCACTGACTATTCTCATGTAGAGTATAAAACACTTGGAACATAATTACAGTGTGAATGTCACCCTGACTATTCCCATGTAGTGTGTAAAACACTTGGAACATAGTTACAGTGTGAATATCATCGACTATTCTCATGTAGAGTGTGAATATCATTGACGATTCTCATGTCGAGTGTATAACACTTGGAACATAGTTACAGTGTGAATGTCACTGACTATTCTCATGTAGAGTATAAAACACTTGGAACATAGTTACAGTGTGAATGTCACTCTGACTATTGCCATGTAAAGTGTATAACACTTGGAACATAGTTACAGTGTGAATGTCACCCTGACTATTCCCATGTAGTGTATAACACTTGGAACATAGTTACAGTGTGAATGTCACCCTGACTATTCCCATGTAGAGTGTAAAACACTTGGAACATAGTTACAGTGTGAATGTCACTGACTATTCTCATGTAGAGTATAAAACCCTTGGAACATAGTTACAGGGTGAATGTCACCCTGACTATTCCCATGTAGTGTGTAAAACCCTTGGAACATAGTTACAGTGTGAATGTCACTCTGACTATTGCCATGTAAAGTGTATAACACTTGGAACATAGTTACAGTGTGAATGTCACTCTGACTATTGCCATGTAAAGTGTATAACACTTGGAACATAGTTACAGTGTGAATGTCACCCTGACTATCCCCATGTAGTGTATAACACTTGGAACATAGTTAGTGTGAATGTCACCCTGACTATTGCCATGTAGAGTGTAAAACACTTGGAACATAGTTACAGTGTGAATGTCACCCTGACTATTCCCATGTAGAGTGTAAAACACTTGGAACATAGTTACAGTGTGAATGTCACTGACTATTCTCATGTAGAGTATAAAACACTTGGAACATAGTTACAGTGTGAATGTCACTGACTATTCTCATGTAGAGTATAAAACACTTGGAACATAGTTACAGTGTGAATGTCACCCTGACTATTCCCATGTAGTGTGTAAAACACTTGGAACATAGTTACAGTGTGAATGCCACTGACTATTCTCAGTTTAAGTAAATTCTGCATCCCATTTTTCAAAATTCTCCAAAAGATTCTGCAGTTAAATGCTTGAAAAAAACAACAAAAAATGATAAAGAATTTCAAACTTTAATTCATAAACACAAAGCTGTAAATGTTTTATTTAGAGCTTCATGTCATTCAAGGTATAGCTGGCAGCTGGGTGTTTTTTTCGCAAGATGTTTTTTTTATTTAGAAAGATGATCTTACGAGTGTGATAATGAATGGCATTACAAACTCTAAAAAATATTGTTTTGTTTGATAGGCAATCTTGATTCAACTTTCAAAATAAGTAAATTCCATTGTAGAAAAATGGCAGATTCTGCAGGTATTTTGCATGAAAATGAATTTTCCGTGGACCAGATGTTTTTATGCATGGAAAGGTATTTTCCGCAATCTGTTCTGCAACCATGGAATCCAGGAGGAACTGTACAAAACCGTCTTCCGACTCAGCTGAATTGTAAATCATAGTGATTTGCATGATCAGAAGTGTTAACTCACCTTTAATTGTGTGTTGCAGGTAGAGGCCTCCTTGACTACTGATGCAGAAAATGAAGACTTACTCAAATTGAAGAAAGACTTGCAAGTGGGTGTTTGTTTAGTTTTTATAGCATTGCTTTAGTTTTTGTGAACTTCAGGTGTCATCACTTTTCATTTTCCAGTTATATTAGTTTCCCACTCATAGAATGTCAAATCGTTCTTCGCTTCCATTACCCCTGCCAGCTTCTGTTTCAACAGAGTGAAGGAACATGGGAGTTAACTCTAAAATACTTGTTGAATCACATGTACGATATATGGAAAGTTTGCAGATAACAATCCCTTGCTTTCATTCACCTGCTGCATCAGAAGTGTGTTTTCAGAATAAATGTTACGAAAATTCAAACAATAATGACAGCAGATAAGATAAATAATCGTCAACAATTTAATTTTAAATTTGCACAATATGAGTTTCCGCTTATTCTTGTTCCTTCACTCCTTTGAACCGGAAGCTGGCAGGGGTAATGGAGGTGAAGAACGATTGGATATGCGTTTGAAAAGTTGAATGAAATATATATTGTTCCATATCCTGACTCACTCTTTCGAACAGTAGTGGAAACGTTGATCCCTTTGCTCCCTGAAGCAAACATAAAATCACTCACCCATTCAGGTTACCTCCCTTATGCTTTCCCCCAACTGTGTCCCACGTGACCGGCACTTGTCACTCTCTGCTTCATGGCCCTAGCGGACGGTTGGATGGATACCTCGGATCCCTTTTACGTCTGCATATCCTCTGTATCCAAATTTTACCGTAGATTGTATATTCAGACATTCTACTATATATACGATGTAATTATTCATGTAAATTATGACCGCCTCCGTGGTGTAGTGGTTAGAGTGTCCGCCCTGAGAGCGGAAGGTCGAGGGTTCGATCCCCGACCGCGTCATACCAAAAGACGTTAAAATATGGTACTTGTTGGTCCGTGCCTGGCGCTCGGCATTAATGGGTACAACAGGGACTGGTTGGCTCGGGGCAGTATAATGTGTCTGAGTTGGGTATTCATGCTTCACTGCGGCATGGTATCTCAGTGGGCTAGCACTATAAAACCAGCTTAAATCTGGGCTAGCACAAGCAGCCGCACATACACATACACACGCATGCACGTCGTCATATGAGTGAAATATTCTCGAGCACGACGTAAAACCCAATTTCACCTCACCTCACCTCATGTAAATTATTGTCTAAAATTAATTTTACCGGTTTCAGTTGACTCATTATGTATGCCTGCATGTCAGCAATGTAGAGTGCGTATGTCACAGGGTTTTACATGACGCTTGATTCCTGCATATTTGACGCAACAATTTTGTAAAAGACTATCAAAATATTATCATACGAGTCAAGCTTGATGCAAGTTTTATGAGTGACCCCCAGAATTCAGTTCAATAAAATTGATTTGATAAGCAAACAATGATAGTTTTCATGAGGTCTTCATTAATTTAGATAATTTTTTCTTATCCTGACTCATGCTCTTTTGCTTGTCTTCTTCTTCTTGCGAACATAGTGGAATACTTGTATTTCCCTAATTGAAGCTCCCTTCAATGTAAAATCACTAATTAGTACTCACCACGAGCTACTTCCCTTTCCGAATGCGCGGGAAAGGAGGCGCCACCTCTTCCCACATGGTTCACTCTCTCCTTCTTCGCCCAGTGAGCAGGATGTGAGAGCGCCTGTGTCTCCCTACACACTATATCCTTTGATTATTCTTATTTAGTTACCTCTTTTAGTCATCTATAGAGGTTTAGGTAGCATCCTTCAACAATTATGTATTGATATTTATTCGTATTTCTGCTGTTTATTCACAGGACGCCGTGATTGTTCAGTAGTTTACGTTGATGAAAATCTGTACTGTTTGCAGGTTACGTTTTTCTGCTGCTGATCCGCATTTGATATGCCCTAGCTGTACTGCACCATGCTCATTTTCTTCACGTTGCAGTTACTGTAATAAATTGTCTAATTCTGCTTTTGACAAATATTTACTTTGCGTCTTGAGACGCGCAGCAGATAGGTCACGTAAGCAGAGTCTAGCCATGGCTGATACATCTGAACCCCTCGCCAGTCAACTGCTGTCAGACGACCCCCTCCCGTCTGGTGTTCCGCTAGAGTTACCCTCGGAGGAGAGGCGTTGGACGCAGTCCGCCGTCTCCAAGAAGCGTCCTGCATCCCCAGACATCCCGTCGTCTCAGCCAAAGACTAAGAGGGCTTCTACTTCAACACAACGCAGACTCTGCACCCCCAGGGCAGCGTCTACCTCCAAGGGGAAATCGACGAAGTCTACTAGGATTTTCTCAGCTGAGATTGTTCCCGCCGCAGAACTGGGCCTGTATGATGATCAGCCAATCATCTTACCTGATTTGCATCACAAGAAACGACCGGTGTCGGCAACAGTGACGTCAGCGCAGATCTACATGCAACCTGATGTACCAACGCTGATGTCTGACGATCTTCCTGAGGGTCCCGTCGCTACCAACGCAGATAGGGCAGCAACTACATCTTCGCATCTTCGCAGACCGTCCTAGACGGTTCTTCAGATTATGAAGATGATGGAAGACCGCTACGGACTGGAGAGACAACCAGCCGAAGCGGAAGGCTCAGGCTCCAACGTAGACGTCACCCCAGAAGGACCTCTCGTCAACGTAGCGGCTGCTACCAAGTCATCGCAGAGGAACCCACCTGCTCGAAGGACGTCACAGCCCATCTCTGCGAAGGACCCAGATGTTCAGCCTTCGCGAAGGCCTTCGCAAAGGACACCTACATCGTCACCTACGTCGGACTCCGATCAACACTCACGTAGAGGTTCGCGAAGGAAGATCCTATCATCCCCGGACTCAGACTCGGACCTCCAGCCTTTGCGAAGGCCTTCTCGAAAGTCAAGTCGTCACTCCCCAGGACCGGACTCAGATGAAGCTTCGCGAAGGTCTTCGCAAAGGGCACCAGTTACAGGCTCCATGTCATCTTCGTCTAGAAGGTCATCGAGGGATTCCCCAAGAGCTTCGCGAGCTATCACTGTTCACCACGTAGATCTCCGCGAAGGTCATTATACAGACGCAGCTTGTCAGGCCGCTCGCCACGTCGATCTCCTCGTCGTTCACCTTGTCGATCTCCTCACAGATCACCACATCGTTCGCCTCACAAGTCTTCACGGAAGTCCCCAGACAGGTCTCCATTGACGTCACCCTGCAGAGCTGTACAAGTATACAGGTCTCCACCTCAGTCACCATCGGAAGAGCATCAACCTCTTATCAGCAATCCCGTTACAGAAGATGATGGAGGCATCATTTTCTCCGACGCAGAAATACGCTACTGGATGGTTAACAACCTGGACCTATCTTCACCTTCCAAGAACGGTAACCCGGCCCACACCTCATCTCATGAGGGAGGACGACGCAGATATCGATCACCCTACCTCCGATCGATTCCACAGAATCTCGACTCAGCCTTCCATAAAGCCACTAAAGCCCAGGCGCCGCACTTACCACAGTTCAACGCCAAAAAGTTCTCAACCCATAATATGGACCCATTTTTCAAGGCACAAGAAATCGACGATAACTTCAAAGTCATCAACGATGCCAAGACTAAGAACTATAAGATAGACGACCGCAAGCTGGCTCAGATCGAAACCATGACAAGAAGAATGTTCTTCGGCCTTAGCAGATCAAGAACGATTAATGAAACTCTCATCACCAGATTTCGAGGTTCTACATCAGAAGACGACAGAATGATATACTCGGCCCTCCTTATGCAGAAGAAGGACCAGCAGTTTTTAACGGATCATCTAACATCAGTATCCGCAGCGCTAACTCTGGCTCGTCGTCAAGGTCTCCTCGCTTCCTGCAGTTGGGGTGAACAGTTCACATCTTCACTCTACACAGCCCCGTGGTCTACGTCATCAATCTTTGCTGGAGGAATAGATAAAGTCTCTAAAGAAGTCACCAAGGATTCAAGAGAAGTCCTTATGATAAAGTCGATGGACACGCTAGGTAGCGTCATCAGGCAGACATCACAGAGATATTCAGGAAGATCAAAGTTTACTGGCTTACAGAAAGCACGGGACAGGAAGATGGACGGTTCAAGAGGAGGAAAAGATTCCTTTCGTCGGCCATATGGCAACTACAGGGGAGGATCTGGAAGAGGCAGGGCACCCAAAGGCTCCCGCAACTATAAACGATGAAGGACGGGTTCGGAACGACTGGAGTCTTCCACCCCTAGCCGTTCCAGTACAACCATCACAAGTGGGTGGACGTCTGCAACTCTACTGGAAGAATTGGGGAATGCTACAGGATCCATATGTCTCCAACATCCTACAACACTGATATCGAATCCAACTACAGGCCACCCCCCGCTTACAGTCAACCCTCACAAGTTCGACTTTCAGGCTCAACAACTATAGTCCAGTAGAAATTGTATGAAACCCGGACATTTAGTATAACAAGCAAATTTTATGACTAAATTAACCCAAATAGGGTACTTGTTCACCAAGGAAAACCCAACCAAAATCAACCTTGGGGAAATTGTCATTTTGGGGCAAAATCCTAAAAAAGGATGAGAAAATTGTTAAAATATTTTTGAAAAGAATTACATTTAGTATAACAAGCACATTTTATGACTAAATTAACCCAAATAGGGTACTTGTTCACCATGGAAACCACAACCAAAATCAACCTTGGGGAAATTGTCATTTTGGGGCAAAATCCTAAAAAAGGATGAGAAAATTGTTAAATATTTTTGAAAAGAATTACATTTAGTATAACAAGCACATTTTATGACTAAATTGACCCAAATAGGGTACTTGTTCACCATGGAAAACCCAACCAAAATCAACCTTGGGGAAATTGTCAATTTGGAGCAAAATCCTAATAAAGGATGCGAAAATCGTTAAATATTTTTGAAAAGAATTACATTTAGTATAACAAGCACATTTTATGACTAAATTAACCCAAATAGGGTACTTGTTCACCATGGAAAACCCAACCAAAATCAACCTTGGGGAAATTGTCATTTTGGGGCAAAATCCTAAAAAAGGATGAGAAAATCGTTAAATATTTTTGAAA